TCAATTTTTTACTTGCTCCCACAATACAGTATTCAGTACTGCTCCAGGATTGTGACTCGCTCGTTCCTACGCTCACCCTTATAGGTGCACAGTTTGAACACGTTGACTGCTTTGTATGCCTGGGCAGCTGTGTGTCTGCTGGTGACGCTATCAGCAGGGCAATTTCTCTTCGCATCACCAATGCCCGGCCCTCGTTTGTCAACCTGTAGCACGTAGCATTATCGTGATGTCTGTCTCTTGGTAAAGGCGCGTGTTTACAATGCCACCGTTCATGCGGTGTTGCGCTGAGTCGGCCAGTTCGCGCAGATGACATCCGCCGACTCTCTGCTTTCGATAATGTGTGTTTGAGGCGAATTGGTCGTGTGTGATAGCGACAACATATCTGCGATGGGGGAATCGGCCGTCATGTCTTAGGGAATGCGAGTTCTCCTTTCAACACTCTGGTTATACTGCGCCAGCTAAGAGCTCGGTCACGTTCTGCATATGTCAGCTGAGCGTTTGTCCTATCTGTTCGCTCGTACAGGACTCCATTAGAAGAAATCACACAGTAGTTAACCGTCCACCTGGCGACAACACATGAAATCACTGCTGACGTTGGATCCACACGCGTGCCTGGTTAGTGACCTAAGAACGAAGGGTTTCGCTGCGTGGAAACAATTCGGGATATTACGTGCATTCTAGCTTAGATTCGGACGCTCAACACCCAAGAATTAAAAATAGTTAAAAAAACAAAACAAGAAGGGGCGTGCGAAAAATAACAAAAAAGGTTCCGTTCTTCTTGCGGCACAATAGCTGCTACTCACCTTCAACTAATCTGCTATGATGGTGATGCTTCAACGACTCTGCCTGTCATCTGCTGATTACTCTCATTTTATTTGGCTCTATATTTGTTTATTAAACTATTGATACAATGCTATTTACGACCATTTCATACAGCGGCATGATCATCTTATGATCGCTGTTCCTGTTTTTTCTAAATGATACCTTTACATATTGATCGGGCCGGGTTTACTGGACTGTCTTGCGTTTCTACGAGGTGTACCTGTTACTATTAATGTTGTCGATATCAGCAACGACCACCAATTAACCTCTGAATACCGATAACAGGTGACCCCGAATTCGTCTGCATGCATTTCTACCATAGGCTGGCTTGCCGAACTACCTCCCCGTGGTGCCAGCTGGGTGGTTCGGGTGTACCCCGTTCCAGCAAAGTGTTCGGCGACAATGTTCCACCTCCGTGGGGCATTGTATTCCAGCAATTGTGCTGACTTCATGGGGAGTATTGGGCCCCTGTTTGGTAATCTACCAAACAAAGGCGCATGAGCTGATCATTCAGTCAACGCCTCCCAATGGGCGCGATTCCCTAAATTCGCCCCGCTGCCTTGCGGGTAGGTTATTTAGCCAAAGGCTCGGGGTGGAGTCCCTTAAGTCAACTCCCTACTTTGGCTTGGGCAACCGGGTAGTATCACGCCCTCTCACAAAACCATGGACTGTACCACAACGCGCTCATCAGCTACTATTCCTGCTACTCACTTTCACGCTACTCCATCACACGCCAATTGTTTGTTTGCTAACAATCCTCACTTTCGGTTACCCGATTCATCTGTTCAACAATCTGGCTGCGATTCCGGTTGCTCCGCAGATCAAGGAATTCAACCTATGGCTCTCCTTCGTCCCCAATCCTCATTCCGTCTAGCGTGCTTCAACGTCCGGACACTCATGCAGATTGGACAGCAAGCCGGTCTAGCGCGCACCCTAGATTCCCTAGACATTGATGTCTGCTGTCTTTCAGAAACCCGATTGCAAGATCCCAGCACTGTGCTTACATTGACATCCCCCACTGACCACGAAGCCAGATATCACCTGCGTCTTTCTGGAGATCCAGAAGCAAGCTCAGCGGGTTTGGCTGGTGTAGGTATAGCACTGAGTGGCAAGGCCGAGGCGGCACTACTGGACTGGTTCCCGATTAACAGCCGACTATGTGCAGTTCGGCTTCGGGGTTCATGTAGAATCAACAGGCAACGCGAAGAGAGACGCAACTTGTTTGTGATCTCTGTATACGCTCCAACTGACTGCAGTAGCGACTCGGTCAAGGACGATTTCTACCGAGATCTACAACAGCTCTTGACTAATGCTAAAAAGTCGGATGTCGTTATCCTTGCTGGGGATTTTAATGCACGGGTTGGCCGCCTGTTACCAAACGAACGCCACCTTGGTGGTCATCACGCGCTCGATGAGAACCGCTCTGATAACGGAGAGAGACTTCTCACATTGTGCGAGGACAACCGTCTGTTCCTCTCGAGCACTAGCTTCAGGCGTACGAAGAAACGTTCCGCAACTTGGCGTCCCCCTTCGCCAACACAACCTTGGTCTCAAATTGATCACATTGCGATTAGCTTCAGATGGCGCGGCAGCGTACTGGACTGCAGGTCCTTTTGGTCCACTTTCGTTGATTCAGATCATGCTCTGGTCTGCGCGAAAATCTGTATGTGTTTTGGAGGATCCCGAAACACGAAGCACCTCAAGATTGATGTAAACAGATTAACTGATTCCTCTGTCCAGGAGAGCTATCAGTCTTCACTGGCATATGCACTCAGTTGCAATCCACCGCGAGAAGTGGAACAACACTGGACTTGTATACGGAAAGCGCTGACCATTTCCGGACAGTCATACTGCGGTCTAACTCGACGCCCTTTGAAGTCTTGGATCTCTGCTCGTTCTCTGGAGCTCTTCAAACGCCGCAAAGATATCTCCGCGGAATCAGATTGCAACGGGCGGCGCCGTTCTACCAACCGGCTGCTTAAGCAAAACCTCCGCAAGGATCGCGAGACATGGTGGTCTGAGCGTGCTTTAGAGATGGAGACTGCTGCCCTCTCTGGTAACACTCGCAGGCTTTTCCAACTCATTCGGTCCACTGGCCTCAGGAAGCCTGGTGTCAGTGAGGTCATTTGTGAGGTGGATGAGTCTCCGATCACCAACCAACAGAGGCGTATGGACCGCTGGGCCGAGCACTTTCACTCGCAGTTCAACTGGCCTCCACCATCCATCAGTACATGCAGTACACCTTGCGGTCCACCTTGGCTAGTCCCATTGAATCCACCCAGCGAAGCGGAAGTCTGCCTCGAGATTCGACGCTTGAAGCGCTTCAAGGCTGCCGGCTTAGATGGACTTCCTCCGGAGCTATTCAAGTATGGCGGTGTGGCAGTCATTAACCAGCTAACCGCGCTGTTCGCAAAAATTTGGCATGAAGAGAGAGTGCCTCCCTCTTGGGGCGAATCAGTTATTGTCCCAATTTTCAAGAAAGGCGCTCGCACTTCATGTGCAAATCATCGCGGGATTAGTCTTATTTCGGTTGCCTCTAAGCTGTTGGCATCCATTCTACTTCGTAGACTATCCCCAGTACGTGAATCGTACTACCGTGAAGAACAAGCTGGTTTCCGTCCTGGCCGCGGATGCGTGGATCAAATCTTCACGCTCCGCCAACTCCTTGAACATCGCCACATTTATCACAGGCCCACTATCGTTACATTCCTAGACATACGTGCCGCTTTTGACTCCGTTGATCGACCTGCTTTATGGCGTTGCTTACTTAAGAACGGGGTGCCAGAGAAATATATCGCTATCTTACGAGCACTTTACCTTCACACATCCGGCAGAGTGAGGGTCTATGGCAAGCTTTCCTCGCAATTCACTGTCAATAGCGGTGTGCGACAGGGCTGCCCTATGTCCCCATTCCTCTTCAACTTCGCAATCGAAGACGTTCTGTCGAATGCCCTAGAAGGTTTCCAACATTTTGGCCTAGAGCTTCTACCGGGTGAGCGCGCGACCGACTTAGATTATGCTGATGATATCGCCTTACTTGGTGACGATCCTCAGAGTATGCAACTCATTCTGGATCGTTTGGCGGTTGAAGCATCTAAGTATGGCATGAGCTTCGCCCCATCGAAGTGTAAAGTACTGCTCAAGGATTGGCTTTCACCTGCACCCGTGCTCACTCTCCAAGGTGCACAGCTTGAACAGGTAGATAGTTTCTTCTACCTTGGGAGCTGTGTTTCCGCTGACGGCACAATCAACAAAGAAGTTTCGCTTCGTATCGCTAAAGCTCGATCAGCATTTGTCAATCTGAGGCACTTGTGGCGTCGTCGCGACGTCTCATTCTCACTAAAGGGCCGAGTTTACAGCGCGTCCGTTCGCTCAGTATTGTTGTATGGGTGCGAGTCCTGGCCGATTCGTGTAGAAGACATGCGTCGTCTTTCTGCGTTCGATTACGGTTGCTTAAGGAGGATCGCTCGTGTTCGGTGGCAACATCGAGTTACCAGTAATGACGTTCGACGTCGCGTCTTGGGGAATGCAAGTATTTCCTTCAACAAACTGGTTTTGTTGCGCCAGTTAAGATGGCTCGGTCATGTCCTACGCATGGCACCTGAGCGTCTACCGCGTCGCGCTCTATTCGCTCGTCAAAGACCTGGCTGGAAGCGACTGCGTGGTGGTCAGCCTTCCACTTGGCGGCAGCACATGAAATCGCTGACGTCGTGTCTAGCCGCTGTTGGACCCGTACGTCTTCCAGGATGGGGACCCAAAGATGGCGAGTGCCAATGGCTTAGGACACTTGAAGACATGGCCCGCAACCGGAATCAGTGGAAGAATTGTGTACAGTGTTGTGTTGATTCACATGTTTAATTCTACAAAAATTGAAAATGACAAAAAAAGAGAAAAACCGGCGTGTGACAAACAAACTAAAAATGTTTTGTTCTGTATTTTTGTCAAAATATTCCATTTTCTTGCGGCATATTAGCTGAAGTGTGTTGCCCACCTTCAGCTAGCATGCCATGACGATTATGACGCAATGACTGTCTCTTATACACTGATTTCCATGGTTTTCTTGGCTCTATGTCTAGTTACTAGACTGTTGAGATTACTACTACTACTACTACTACTATTTCTACCATATTAACTTTGTTATTGCCTAGCTTCTTGTTTCTTTTCAGCCCACAGTCACAATGCATGCTGAACCCCGTGTCATCACTGAAAATGCTTCCATCCGCTACACCTTTAGCGATTTCTACGACATGGCGCTTCATCTGAAGCTAAGCAGGAAGTCATATTGCATTCCAACGTCTGTATCCATTCGTCCGGCTCGTGATACTTCGGCTCAACATGTAGGTTTCCCTTCACATACGTACCATAACTTTTCACTCTTGACTTTCACAGTCTCTAAGGTGCCGAACTTCACTCTTCATTTTGGAACTTTTGTTATCTACCACTGCTACATCATAGCAGTCGTTAAATTCTTCCAGCAGTTTAATTATAGCACACTTCATATACGCGCTTTTTTGCTCTTCATCTGACAGCCCGCATGTCGCATCTACTTCGTCTCTTATCCGCGTTCCGAGAACCCGGCTCGTTTCACACCAACCCTGTTTTGCTGTGACGCCTGTCGCTCCAGCCCTGGAGACGCAGAACTGACTTGGTTCCCGTTGGTGCCGGAAGATTTTGGGTCAGACAGGTAGAGTCCCTGTCAGCTTTCCGTTAGAAATATATTTTCAACTCGGCTTTCTATATAAATTAGATATATGTATGTATGTATGGCCTCGTTATTTCGCTTTCAGCGCCGACTTCTATTGTGACCCACAGCATCAGACTTGTTGTTTGGCCCAAATGCACTTGATTGCTGCTGGGCTTTTTCCTGTGTGTTACCTTAATGCCATCTCATTATTCTGCACGTTACTGTCATTTGCTAGCTTCCTCTTTACTTAACAGGCGAACGCGCGCATTCCGGAAAAGCAGCTAGCGCTATTATAGGTTATTTCCAACTTTTCACTTACTCCGTTTGAATCCAATGCACGGAGGGAAACATCTCTATACAAAATGTTGCTTGTTAGGCTGTTGCTGGCGATCCTCATAGGCTACTCCCTTTTTTGAGTGGGCGGCAATTTTGTGCAGTCAGTGATCCGTAATGACCTTTCGTCGCGACGAGGTATAACGTTTTGCGTACCTCATCGACCCATCGGGCTATACTGAGTGGGGCACTTGGGCCTCTTAAAAACTACCCCTACCAGGTTGGTCAGTGGTCAGACGAACTTAGTCTCCTGCTCCTCCAGGTTGAGGGTTTGAAATGTGATAGCGTCCATTCCTGTAAAACCAAATCGTTGCCATATCCGCTGCCTTGCGGACAGACTCTTGAGCCAACGGCTTTGCTTAAGGACCCTAATTGTTCCCCTGTCTAGCTCTGGACGCCCTGACACTATCTCAGCCCACGTCTAACCATGACTACCACCTTAAATTTCAACCATATCCTGCGTCGGCTGTCACTCAGCTTATCAAGAGTCGCCTTATCTGCTGCGTGCAGCAGAGCGAATAAGCGGAAACATGCTACTGCTGGCGCCTCTTTACTTTCCACTTGTTTCTCTTACTCCCCTCCCAGTCCCCATTACTAGTCCTTCTTCTGTAATTCTCAGTTTAATTGGTAGCAACAGAAGTGTCACTAACGTAGAACCATCTGCAGCTATGTTCCCGCATCACTGGACACTAGTCGCCAACGCTTCCTCCTAAAGCTACACTGTCCCGTATCCCTGGCGGCGTTCATCGTTCGCACTCTAAGACAAATAGGTCAAAAGGCTGCACTTGCACGCACGTTAGACACGCTGGGTAATGATGTATGTTGTGTGTCCGAAACTGGGATCAATGATCCTCCCGGGACTTGTATTAATTGCACCCAATTTGTCCTCTCGCTATTGGTTGCGCGCATCCGGAGACTGATGCGGCAACGACTGGTCAGGCTGGAGTGGGCATTGTTTTCAGCTCCAAAGATTGACTCATCGTTGGTTGATTTGATCCCCGTTTGACGACTGATTGGTTGATCCACGATGTGACACTGGACGCTGTTTGTTTGTTGTTTCCGCTTGTGCCCCCATCGATTGTAGGTCTGGTTCTGCAAAGGACACTTTCTACCACAAACTGAACACGCTACTACGCAGTGTTACCAGTTCAGATATCATACTTCTTACTGGGGATATGAATGCGCAGTTAGGTCACCTGAGATCTTCAGAAGTTCAGCTATTTGGTAAGTATGGACTTAACTCCGAACTGACGGTCAACCGCGAGCCTCTGTTACAGCTGTGTGGGGCACATCTGATATTTCTTTGTGGTACCGCTTTTAGACACAGGGGACGCCGAAGTGTCACTCGGCACCCTCCTGTAGCTGGCCAGCGACGGACCAAATTGGTCACATTGCCAATAGTTACAGGTGGCGTGATTCTATCTTGGACTGCTGCTCGTTCTAGAGCACTTGCCTCGATTCTGATCATGCTTTGGTACGTTGTCGTTTTTCCATGATCTTTGCCGCAAGGCGCGTATTTGGTGCAGGAAGAGCGAGTGAACCGCTCAGCACCAATATATTATGCACCAGACTCCGAAGTCTGGGCCACTTGTTGCACTTGCCAGCACACCGACTCCCGCGATGTGCATTGTTTGCGCGCCGGGGGTGCAGTTGGAATAGGAGGGGATACCAAGCGATGGCTTGGTCGAGAGGAATGAAAACCCTCACTTCAAAACTGGCGTCGGTTGGTGCATCCCGACTGCCTGGCTGGGGTCCTAAGGACGAAGAACACGCTTGCTTAAACACATTTGCTGATATAGAGAAGAGCCAGCCTTAATGGCGTTTGTGTTGTGAATTTCTTTGTCCATCCCCCTCTCTTTAGGTTCCCCCTCCAATCCCGATCTCTTGCGAAACACACAATATAATATCTAACATCATATTTTTGTAGTGTAGTTTTTAGTCTCGTATCTTTTTGTATTGCGGCGCATTAGCTAAGGTGTGTTTCTCACCTTCAGCTTACGTGTACTGATGATGATGATGATGACCGGAAGGCGCACCAATCGTCCCCTCGATTAAAAACTGAGAAGGTATCTCAGCTGTCGGTCAGTAAAGCCTACCAGGATATACTGCGTACCAAACTTTCACTCTCTTATCCTAATGACACTGAGTTTCTATAAATGATTATCTCAGACGTCATGCAACATGCAAGAGTCTCTACTTGAGGCACTATAAATCGTCACTGCATCAGTCACTGGATACCCGAGCGGTCGCTGAACCTATTGGAATCCATAAGAAAACTTCGGCTGGCTCTGAGCACAAGGTGAGCAGACGGACTATTAGGCGCGAACTAAAGCGGAGGCTGCGTACTGACAAGAAAGCTTGATAAACAAATCGGGCTCAAGCAATGGGAGAAGCAGGAGCAGTAGGCAATTATCGGAAGCTCTTCCAGCTGATCCGCATCACTGGTCCCAGGAAATCAGGCGTCAGTGAGACAATCAGAGACAGCACTGGCGTACTGATTCACAATAAGGATCGCCGTATGGTTCGCTGGGCGTAACACTTTCGAGAGCAGTTCAGTTGACCCCCTGCTTCTTGACCTCTTCCTACTCACTTGTTGCAGGCTGAACCATGGCCAGTTAGTTTAGTCTCCATCGGAGGATAAGGTCCGAAACAAGATCGCAGCCTGTTATAAACGTCCTGGTTGGGGTTCGACTGCCCTAATAAGAACGGACGAACTCTTCACTCGTTGTTACCGCCGCACAGAGTAGCCTAGACGATTCGTATTTGAACGGCTAGTGGACTTAGCCGACAGGGGAAAACTCGCAACTGATAAAGCAGAAGGAACTTGAGGAGAGTCCGGGAGATACACTAATGAGACTGATGCGTGATACGTTGGCCGTGTTCTCACTGAGGAAAACTCCGTTGTGATCTATGCAGTTGAGTGAACCCTTGTTGGTAGTTTCCGTAGGGAGAGCTCCGCTCTGAACTGGGTAGTTTAGATCTCTACATAGCGACCGTGTTGTTCGGGCCCGCAGTGTACTGTCGCCTGTGAAATCCGAGTGAGTTCTCCAGGGCTGTACTTGCCTTGCAACATCTCCCCTTGAAGATAGACGGCACCGTACATGACGAGGGTCTACTTGTAGCTTTGTTGGCCCTTTGTGAATGCGTCCTATTCGATGACGGGGACTGTCGGGTTACCCAGTCGGTTGGATAGCTGTTTCTATTTCCAGTTTCTCCTCCGCGAAATCCAAACTCTCCAATACAACTGTGTGGGTAACTGATAACCATAACGCGCCGTGCTCGGAGTTGGTTGCAGTGAGGAACCTATGTGTCACCAGACACAGCAACATGATGTAACATACTGCTACGGTTGGCCGTCATTGTTGCTTCGGTCCAACTTGGATGGCCATTGCTAGGAGGGGCACCTCCTAAAGGACGGATCAGGGAACCCAACTAGGATCAAATTCCGTCCATTTTCCTGAAATCTATCAAGGTAATCACATTGATTAATTAACAGCATGTTCTCGCAAAATTTAATACTATCATTTTTAAGTACAGAAAAAAGATAGCAGAGTGCCTTCAGGAAGTTCGCTACAAACAAATAAATATGGGTATTTTGCGCTGTGTTATCATGTCGTCTCTGGCGGCCATTACACTATGTCCACGACCTTACCTTTTTGATCGGCCTATTGGGGGCGGTGAGGTTTTCTACGGACATCCAATCGGCGTATATAAGGCGACCTTGGTAGCCATTACAATTGGCGACAGAGGTAGCAGTTTGATTAGATACAACAAAAATAATACGCAATCTGTTGTTTTAAACGGATCAACTTACGGCAATACTTTAACTTCTGCAGAAGCAATTCGAAGGAAGCCTGACACGATTGCTCTACAATATCTTTCAGCGTTTTGCGGTTCAAGCAAGACCAAACGATGAAAAGCAGCAATCATCAGCGGATGCGCTCGCGAACAGCATTTGTTGGTTTAAGTATGACCGGCCTAATCTTCGAATCTTGGTTCTGAAGATATGAAGTCGTTTTCCGGTCCGAATTCGCTGATGCTGACGACGGATGGAAGTGCAGGCTGCTTTTGCGGCAACTGGGAACCAGGGAACATGACAAATTTCACACTTTTATTTTACCAAAATGCCCCAAAGATCTTAATTTTGACCAACTCGTACCTCTGTTAAATGACAGTTCTGGTGAATAGTTTTCCTTATTCAGCGTCCGATACAACTGCATGAAGCTCGTTCAATGCGTGTCAGACGATTTCGTAACTTACGCGAATACCGTCAATCGTCATTGCTCGCGTTTCAGGCTAAAAGAAATGACAGACGACCAGTTCAAAGCTTTAATTTTTGTGGTCCTCAAGCGCCCGAGGACGCCGAAGTACGCATAAGGCTGCTTAACAAAATTGAACAGGACCCGTCCATCAGTCTCATGTCCATAACTTACGGATGTCAGAGGTTAATCATCATCATTCTCATTAGGGTGAGAACCACACCTCAGCTAATGTGCCGCAATACAAAAAGATACGAGATTAAAAAATACACTACAAATTGCGCAACTTGTACTACAAAAATATGATATATATATATATATATATATATATATATATATATATATATACGTTTTGTATGGGATCGGGATTGGAGGAGAACCTAAAAGGAGGAGGATGGACAAAGAAAT